ACCACCACCACCACCACCACCACCACCACCACCAGCAACAGCAGCAGCAGCAGCAGCAGCAGCAGCAGCAACTAACAGTAGGGAGTATAATGTTGATAAAGAATTGTAATTTATCTCTGCATATAAATCGCTGCAGCAAAGGCAGCAGCCATATATTATTAGCAGCAACAAAGTCATCAAAGGGAGCAGCAGCAGCAGCAGCAGCAGCTGCTGCTGCTGCTGCTGGTGGAGAACCAGCAGAAGCAGAAGCAGCAGCAGCAGCAGCAGCAGCAGGAGATAAGGAGAGGAACGATGCTCCTCCTCCTCCGCATAACATGCGTATACACCCGAAAACCCTCACGGCACTACCAAAGGCAAACTCTAATTGAGGCCTATACACAGCAGCAGCAGCAGCAGCAGCAGCAGCAGCAGCAGTATGAATAGCAGCAACAGCAGCAGCAGCAGCAGCATGGGCTGCAGTAGCAGGGGAAGAAGCAGCACGGGTAGCAGCAACAAGAACTGCAGCAGTGGCTTCATTGTTGTCACCAACCAAGTACTCCAAACCCTAAACCCTAAACCCTAAACCCTAAGACTGCATGTCTGCCTATTTAATGCTGAAGGAAATAAGAACAGAGGAAGGGGTAGTGTTTCTTCTATCTAGGGTTTAGGGTTTAGGGTTTAGGGTTTGCGTTGTTGCCATACCTATACATGCGGAGCTCCTGCTGCCTTGCCTTAAGGAAGGTACTTGAGCTGCTGCTGCTGCTGCTGCCTGTTTGCTGCTGCTGCTGCTGCTGCTGCTGCAGCCCCTCTGCTGCTAGCAGCAACTCCCATAAGGAAGAAATAACAGGAAGAAGAGAAGAAAAAGAAGAAGAAAAATAATCATCTAAACATTCATTAAAAGTGTTTATGTCCCCAGATTTAACCTATATATACACACAAACCCTAAACCCTAAACCCTAAACCCTAAACCCTAAACCCTACTAAACCCTAAACCCTTTATTCCCTACAACAAATATCCTGATATATCAGCAAAACCCTCGTATCCAGTCTTATCCTCGCTGCTGTGCTGGATGTGTCTTATTTACTACAGTGATTAGGGTTTAGGGTTTAGGGTTTAGGGTTTACGAGAGAATTAGGGTTTGGTGAATCCAATGCAGCAGTGTATGCAGAAACCTCCACAGCAGCAAATTGTTCTCCGCATAACTTAAACACTTCTGGCCAACGCGATTTATGACGGTAATGTAGTAAACCCCTAAAAATATACATAAACCCTAAACCCTAAACCCTAAACCCTAAACCCTAAACACTAGGGAGACAATTCTCTATTATCTGCAACAAACGCCAACCCCTCATGAGATATAGATCCTTATCTGCAGTTTTCTAGGGTTTAGGGTTTAGGGTTTAGGGTTTAGGGTTTACTTTAGCAAAGGAGCCATGGCTTGATGGATAGGCACCCCCGTTGATTGCTGCTGCAGCACAAGCCTCCTCTGCAGCAGCAACAGCAGCAGCAGCGCAGCAACAGCAGCAACAGCAATTGCAGCAACAGCACGGCAGACACAAAGAGGAGCAGCAACAGCAGCAGCAGCAGCACAACACCAGCAGCAGCAGCAGCACAACAACAACACCAACAAGAACAGCACAACAACAATAACAGCAGCAGCAGCACAACAGCAGCAGCAGCACAACAGCAGCAGCAGCAGCAGCAGCACAACAGCAGCAGCAGCAGCACAACAGCAGCAGCAGCAGCAGCAGGACATACAGCAGCCTTAATAGCAGCAGAAAGTGCTGTTGGGTCCGCCATTTTATTAAAAATAATAAAAAGAGAAGAAATAAATCTTTGTACAAGAGATAAACATATACTTATTCTGTCTCTTTGCTGCTGCTGCTGCTGCTGCTGTTGCTGCTGCTGCTGCTGTTGCTGCTGCTGCTGCTGCTGCTGCGGATCAGATGAACCCTCTAACGTCAACTTATCCATTAAACTCATCAATTGGTCTTCTGCTGCGTCTGTTGGTCTTGCTGCTGCTGCTGCTGTTGCTGCTGCTGCTGCTGCTGCTGCTGCTGCACCGAACTCATGCTGCTGCTGCTGCGGTGCCTCACTAGCCCATAACATTACAGCAGACACTGCTGCTGCTGCTGCAGATAACCAAGCAGCAATATCACGAGGGCTACTGCTGCTGCTGCTGCTGCTGCTGCTGCTGCTGGGTAAGAAACCTTTCCTAAATAAGGGACAATTTAGTACCTGGGCAGCAAGAGATAGAGAGGAGGCCCCTGCTGCACACCTCTGCTGCTGCTGCTGCTGCTGCTGCTGCTGCTGCTGCTGCTGCTGCTGCTGCTGCTGCTGTTGGTGCTGTTGGTTGTCGTCACTAAGCTGCTGCTGCTGCTGCTGCATCACCATCCGCTGCTGCTGCAGCAACTCTGTTATAATTATACCTACTGCCTCTAGGTACTCAGCACGGGGGGCCCCCTTGGGCCCCATGCGCAGCAGCAGCAGGCATAAACCCTCAACCCTTTCTTTTTGTTTCTGCAGCTCCTGCTGCAGTTGCTGCTGCTGCTGCTGCTGTTGCTGCTGCTGCAGGGAATCAAGACGACGCCCTATAGAGGTTATTAGCTGAGGAAGCAGCCGCTGCAGCAGCAGCAAAGTTCTGTGCTCTTTGCTGTTGGTCGGCAGCAACTGGAGCTGGTGCTGCTGCTGCTGCTGCTGCTGCTGCTGCTGTTGCTGTTGCTGCTTGAGGGCTCTAGTTAAGGCAGTAATAAGAGACCCAATACCCCCTGCTGCTGCTGCTGCTGCTGCTGCTGCTTCTTCCTGCTGCAGTTGGCTGCAGAGACGAGACACGAACTGCAGCAGCAAACGTTTTGCTGCTGCATGCACTGCAACACGATCTCCCTCTACTGCAGCACGCAGCAGCACCTCGAAGCAGCCACGAGACACAACAACAGGCCTCCTGCTGCTGCTGCTGCTGCTGCTGCTGTCGTTGCTGCTGCTGCTGCTGCTGCTGCTGCTGCTGCTGCTAGAGGTGATGCCGCCACAGACACGCACAGCCTGCAGCAGCGATAGTGTAGCTCGCTGCGGTGCTGCTGCACTTGCTGCTGCATCCTGCAGCAGCGGCAGCAGCTGAGACAGCAACAGCTGCTGCTGCTCTCCTCCCTGCAGCAGCTCAGCTCGTGCTGCAGCAGCAAACAGCAACTCTACCAGCAGACTCATACCTAGGACGAACATGGGGGGCCCCACAAGGGGCCCCTTATTTCCTTCGGCGTCCTCTTCTGCTGCATTGTGCTGCTGCTGCTGCTGTTGCCCCTCCTGCTGCTGCTGCTGCTGCTGCAGCTCATCAAGGGACCTACGAAGACACTGCAGCGTAACATGAATTGCTGCTACTAGCGGCTGCTGCTCTGCTGCTGCTGCTGCTGCTGCCTTAGAAGAAAGAGCAGCAACAATTGCTGACCAACAGGATCGTGCTGCTGCTGCATCAGCAGCAGATAGGGGAGCAGCAAACCCTAAATGGGTACGGCGGGGGGGCCCCTGGGGGCCCCCATCAGAAGGGTCTGCCTGTGCTGCCTTTCCTTCAATCTGCGAGGCAATAGCAGCAAGCAGCTGCTGCTGCAGAAGCAGTTGGTGCTGCTGCGGCCGCTGCTGCTGCTGCTGCTGTTGCTGCTGCTGCGGCTGCTGCGGCTGCAGCAGCAGAGACACCATTGCTAGCTGCCTTGGGGACAGAAGGAACTTCCTTCTGTCCTCAAGGCGTATGGTTAGCCTGGGGGTTAAAAGGGTTTAGGGTTTAGGGTTTAGGGTTTAGGGTTTTCCGCATAGGATTCAATAATAAGGGTTTGGTGTTTGCTGTGGGGCCTCCGGCACATTGACGACGGGAGCCTGTCTTCCTCTAGGAGAAGAAGGGTTTAGGGTTTAGGGTTTAGGGTTTAGGAATTAGGGTTTAGGGTTTAGAGTTTATCCTCGGTAGGGAGAAGGAGAAAGAACTCTACTGGTCATGAAGGGGAAAGGGGGCCCCGCCACATGGTGCCGAGGGCCCCCTAAGGGACGGGGCTGTTCAGGGTTTAGGGTTTACGGTTTAGGGTTTAGGGTTTATGGTTTCTCTTAGAAGTTTAGCGCGAGTATTTTCTTGCGTTTTTCTTTTTATTTCGGGAAGAGGTTGAGGGTTTAGGGTTTAGGGTTTGGAGTTTTGTTGGTGGCAACCTCAAGGTGCGGGAACCGCATATGGCCCCTGCTTCCCGGCCAGGACAAGGGTTTAGGGTTTAGGGTTTAGGGTTTAGGGTTTAGGGTTTAGGGTTTATTATAGCCCCATGGAGGTGGAGAATGAAAGAGCAGAGGACGGCGAGCGCGTCCAGCAGCTCCTCCAAGTCATCGCTGAGTTCAAGGTAAGCCACCAACCCTAAACCCTAAACCCTAAACCCTAAACCCTAGAAACCGTACTAAGTTACTAGCATGGAAATATTACTCCCTTAATGTATATTCACAGTGTCGCTACTTTTCCTTTATATTGCCTGTCTTCCTCTGTCATATTTATTCCCTAGGGTTTATTCATAATTTAGGGTTTAGGGTTTAGGGTTTAGGGTTTAGGGTTTTGTATTTGCTGCAGCGGCGTGAATATATACATTTATCCTTAATTTCTTCCTTAGAGCGTTCCCTATCTAAGGCGCAGTGTTGTGGGGGCCCCTGGTCCTCTTATATATCTAATAATGGTACAAAGGACATAAGGGTACAGGAGGAAGTGGGGGCCCCCCAGGTAAATAGCCCCCATGGGGCCCCTTCTATATCAGCTGGGGCCCCCACAAACCCTAATTTAGGGGCCCCCTTTCTTAGGGGTCTAGCTGTTGACCCTGTTACCCAATTAGAGATAAAAACCCTAAGAATGAGACTAGCGGAGGCAGAGGGGGCCCTAGAAAGAAATAAAGAAACACAGACAGCGCAACAATTCTCGGGGCAAAGGTACGCTAAACCCTAAACCCTAATAAAACCCTAATCCTAACCCTAATAAACCCTAAACCCTAAATATTAGAAATTTCGCACAAAAGACTCCATAACGAGATCGAGACACACGTCGAGATGCTAAACCCTAAACCCTAAACCCTAGCAGCAACTGTTTTGTACTTTATGCCCCGTCTAAACCCTAAACCCTAGGTACCCATATTAAAACCCTAATTAAACCCTAGAACCTACCCTACCCGTTGCATTGGCAATAAAACACTTTTCTCCCCGTATATACCTACAGCATTTCCATCCACTCTCCTCTCTGTCGCCCGTCAAACCCTAAACCCTAAACCCTAAACCCTAAACCCTAATTGTGTGTATATGTACAGTGTAACTGGCCAACGTTTAATAACAAAATGCAGAACCCTGCAGCAAGAAAATGCAGAATTAGGGAGGGCACTAACAGAGGGGGCCCTCTCCTCTACAACTGTACAATTATCTTCATTAAAAAAACATATTCTTTTCTTACAAAAAGAGCTCAGGTATATAAACCCTAAACCCTAAACCCTAAACCCTAATTTTTTTTTTTTTATTTTTTTTATAGGGATGATGTATAGGAGTCAAGGTATAACACACAATATATGTATAGGCTTATATTTGCTTACGCTGCTGCTGTTGCTGCTGTTGCTGCTGCTGCTGCTGCTGCTGCTGCAGGCAACTACGGGAACTAAATGCCGACCTTGATGCAGACAACGAAGATTTGTCGCAACAACTTCAAGCAGTTTTCGTTCAATTCAGCGTCAGTATAGGGTTTAGGGTTTAGGGTTTAGGGTTTAGGGCTAGGTAATAATATTGTGTTTTTTCAGCCAGATTTCGTGTTGTTCCTACCAGAGGAACGGCCTCTTCTTAGCGGTCTAGGGTTTAGGGTTAAGGGTTTAGGGTTTAGGGTTTAGGGTTTAGGGTTTAGGGTTTGTGATCAGGAAGTAAAGACGGAGAGAGATTCTTTAAAGTTGCAGGTTGAGGATTTAGAGGCAAAGCTGAAGGCAATGAAGTTATCTCGTCCTTCACAGTAAGTCCTAAACCCTAAACCCTAAACCCTAACAGATACTATTACCACCATACAAATATGTAGACCCTAAACCCTAGAAAATAGAGAAAAACCCTAATTCCTCCATAGAGGAACCCCAGCAGTTAAAAATATTCCTTCTTTGCCTCTCCTTTAGCGTAAAAAATGAGTGAATTATTCAGGAATTAGGGTTTAGGGTTTAGGGTTTAGGGTTTAGGGTTTCGTGTGGTCCTCAGCCCCGAAAGAAGCTATGGAGGCCGCGCAAGTCCTTCAGGCAGTAGAGGGGATAGGAGGCCCTCATCAACAGCCCCATCAGGGGATTTTGGTTCTCGTGGGGCCCCCCACGGGGCCCCTCATGGGGCACCACATGGGGGCCCCCATGGGGGCCCCCCAAGAGATGAGAAAAGTAGCAGGTCTAGTAGGAGGGTATGGGACGTAGAGAGGTCCCCTGAGGGGCCCTCAAGGAGAGGGGGGCCCCCTGAGGGGCCCCATTCCTCCTCTCATAGTAGACCCTCAAGAGGAGAGAGAGAAAGACTAGATAGAGATAGAGGAAGAGACAGAGATAGAGAAAGAGAAAGAGACAGAGAAAGAGATAGAGAAAGAGACAGGGAAAGGGAAAGGGAAAGGGAGAGAGAAAGAGAAAGAGAAAGGGAGAGAGAAAGAGAGAGAGAAAGAGAGAGAGAAAGAGAAAGAGAAAGGGAAAGAGAGAGGGAGAGGGAGAGGAGACAAAAAGATACCCAAAGGAGACCCTCAGAGGAAACAAGGGCAAGAAGGGGATCTGCTACAGCCTCCTCAAGACAGCGCAGCAGCGCTCGTTAGCTAGCTAGCTGGCTAGCTAGCTAGCTAGCTAGCTGGCTAGCTAGCAAGCTAGCTGGTTAGTTAGCTGTCTGTAGCTATACCTATAACTATAGCTAGCTGGCTAGCTAGCTAGCTAGCTGGCTAGCTAGCCTTTAATCTAGCTTATTCTTTGGCTAGCTAGCTAGCTAGCTAACTTGCTAGCTAGCTAGCTAGCTAGCTAGCTAGCTGGCTAGCTGGCTCCTTAAAGACTGAAGTAACTTGATGTGCCTTTATAGAGGTTCTTTATTTTCCTTGACAACAAGACTAACATTTAGTTATCCACCTAGCTAGCTAGCTAGCTAGCTAATTAGCTAGCTAGCTAGCTAGCTAATTAAATAGGCAGTTAGCTGGCGGCTACCTAGCTACCCAGCTAGCTAGTTAGGCAGCTAGCTAGTTAGCAAGGGAGAGTCCAATTATATTAGGCCATATATGGTTCTGCCCTCCTCCCGCTTAGGCAGTAGGGGGGCCCCTCACCCATCACGACACAAAAAAAAAACCCTAAGGGGGCCCCTCTAGGGGGCCCCTCCGGGGGCCCCGAAGGGGCCCCACCCTATATAGGAGGGAGTGTGTTATTGAGGGGGGAAATCCTCCCCCACCAATTATTAAAAAAATTTATTGGGGTGCATGCAGTGAGGACAATGGGGCCCTCTATACGCTTGACAAAAAAGTTAATATATAGACAAGGTGCATGCATCTGCATGCAAGTGCATGCAAGCGCATGCATGTGCATGCATGCATATGCATGCACATGCATGCATGGAAGTTCATGCATGGATAAGGACATATATACAAGAATTCCTTGCATGCATGCATGCATATGCATGGATATGCATGGATATGCATGCATGCATATATAGAGAAAGAGGGTAAAAGGAGTGCGTCCTTCTTTGTGGCTGTATATGCAGCAGCAGCAGGAGGCACAAGACGTAATACTAGTAATTGTAGTAATAATTTATATAATATATATA